GTGTGTGTGTGTGTGTGTGTGTGTGTGTGTGTGTGTGTGTGTGTGTGATCCCATTATACCTTAGAAAAGAGATTGAATGGGTGGTGTCAGCAAATGCTGACCCTGGTCTTCCAAGCTGGTCACTTACTCTTCAGGATTACACGTGGATCTTTCAAGTTGAAACTGGTCAGCTGTGACTCAAGAACTTTCTGAATACGTCATAAGAAGCATCTCTTTTTCTTCACTGAATGCAAATTGATAATCTCTACAAGATTTCATAGTCCCTGTAAGCAATAGTTAGCAGGGTTTTTTTTTTTTCCTTGACTATGGTTATAAGAAACTCTTACTGTCAGCGAATAGAGTTTAGGAGTATTATCCAAGTCATCTCTGTGGGATTGGAGTGTTTGTGGAGTAGTTATGCACAAGATCACTATTGTGATAAAGGAAATTTGTGTAAATTAAGAAAAATAGTGAATAGATAAAGCAAGGACCTTTTCTTTCTTGCCATCACAACATAATATATGAAGTGAAATTTACTAAGACCATGCCCTAGTGACTCCCATGTTCATAAACTACTACAGGGTTCTAACTTAAAAAACTTGCATATGCCTTTCTATATTATGTGTTACTTTCTTAAGATGAATATGCTTTAAAACTTTTAATGAAATAGATTTGGAAAGTACCAACAGTTTAGGTAAGTTCAGGATCATATAATAGAGTTATGTATGACCCATAGGAACTCATCCATAGGGTACTAAGCTTCAGGGCCATAAAAATGTTAATTGCAGTTTGTCTGTGGAGTTGTTGCAGTTTGTCTGTACAGTTGTTGTGTGTTTGTTTGTTTCAGTTAGAGAGGGCACACATCATGGATTAACAGAGATGAATACATACTATTTTAACATATTATTATCTTTGAGTAAGGAGCTCTTGTATCTCTAATGATCTTGAATTCAATATATAGTCAAGAATGATCTTAAATTTCTACACTTTTTGGTACCTCCTGAATGTTGGATTAAAGTAGAGATATGTTACCACAAACACCTAGTGTTAGGGATTGTATCCAATGCTTCATGCATGTTGGGGTAACATTGTACCTACTATTATCAAATGAGGGTATCAGATGCAAGTGGATATAAATAATAAAAGGAATACTTGTTTATATTTTAACATTATTTTTTATTTATATTCACTTGTATCAGATGCCATAATGTAAAATAAAATAAAATATTGGCAAATTGAATGGCTTCACAGTGAATGTAGAATTTTAATGTATGGTTCCTTTTAAATAACACTATCTTGTTAATGTCATAGATACCTTAGTCTATTTGCTGCAAAAGAAATCAAAACAGATGTACAGTGTGAAAATTAAACAGGCCATCTGTCTTTTATGTTAAGTGTAGAGCTACTGAATGTAATATGTGAGTGGAAAACTTTAAATCCACAAGTGAACCTTTAATTGTATAGGCTAAAAAAAAGAACTTTTTGTTGCTGTTGTTTCTTTCTCTTCTCCTTATTCTTCCTCCTCCTCTTCTTATTACTTTCATGTGCTTGCAGAATTACTGTTAAGGTTGCAGCTCAAAGACAGTTCTGTTTAATATATGGGTTGAAAATGTGTGCTCTTTTTTGGAACACCATGGATAACTACAAACTCTAAGGTATAGTAAAGGAAGGTTCTCCTGACACATTTGTATGGTTGTTCAAGGTATATGAGTTTAAATTACTTAAGTTATTAGGCAACTATTAGATTTTTTTAATTGTTTTGTTTTCTTGATACTAGTGCTGAAGTCTTTGTCCCTTTATGTCTGCTAGACATTTATTTAGAAAATGCTATACACAGATTTATGTCATCTAAACATATAGCACTGAATTATGCATTTTACACCTCTCTTGTTAAAACTTGTGACTATTTTAAACTATGCTTGCCTGTAGGATTTTGCTTTTCAATCATAATGCAGATATCAAAGTGATGAGACTCTCTAGATATTTAATTAACTCTAACCCAGGCAGAACAAGTATGGAGTAATCATATTCATACATACACACTTGAGCTTCTATACCCTTTTGTCAGAATAAGCATTTAACAAATATCTGATAGAAAGACGGATATTTGAAGGTTATTACCACCAAGGAAGCATTAAGTTGTATTCTGTCAAATATTAATGTGCAGTCCAGTAGTTCACCTAGTGGATGAGAGGACTTGGGTTCCATTTCCATTATCCCTAAATGAAGGCAAAACAGACAAACAAGTTGAGTTCTCTCAAAAGCTTTTTGTTGTAGCATTTTTTTGTTGATGAGGAAATCAACTATTAATTTACATCTCTGCCTACTCTGTATTGTGTGAATTTTTGAGTGGGTAACACAGAGGTGCAAAGGTGGACACACTTATGAACATTAAAAAAATTTTGAGAGGTGGAGAGATGGCTCAGTGGCTAAGGAGTGCTTCCAAAGGACATGAGTTGGGTTCCTGTCATCTACATCACATGGTTCACAACGACCTGTAACTGCACGTCCAGGAGATCCAACACACTCTTTATGACGTTCACTGACACCTGCACTCTTATACACAAACTTACACATGGATATAACCGAACACACTCACACACACACACACACACACACAATAATTACAGTCTTTTCTAAAATAGTAAGCAAATATCAGTTGCTGCCAAAAATCTCCAAGAAGTCTGCTTGTTTTCTCTTCTCTCTTATTTCATCTAGGTACCTTCTTCTGGCTACTCTTATGAAAACAGTGCTATCAGAGAGTCATGTATTTTTTATTCAAATCTTCTTCTTCTTCTTCTTCTTCTTCTTCTTCTTCTTCTTCTTCTTCTCCTTCTCCTTCTCCTCCTCCTCCTCCTTCTTCTCCTCCTTCTCCTTCTTCTTCTTCTATCTCCTTCTCCTTCTTCTTTCTATGCCTGTTCCTCTACCTCCTCTTCCTCTCTCCCTCTTTTAAGATAATACAATAGAACAATTGCACTTGCTCTGATTTCAATGGAAATTTAGAAAATTATGTTTTAATAATTCTACTATGGTTTGTGATTTATCTTTTCCTCCAGAGACAAAAAAGTAACATTGTTATTTTTCACTGTGTAGCCCTAAAATGTGATTATTTTCCTTATATTGTTGCAATCCAAGGTGACTTGACTTCCCAAATTTATTACTCGGATGTAAAAACATAACCAAAGTGTTCTTCTTTAGGTGGATAATGCAACCTAATTGATGTGCAAGCTTCACCTTGAATATTTGGAGCAACAACATCATGAGGCAAAAAATAATGAATATTCATGCAGTTAGAAAGAAGAGAGAAACTTACAGACCACACACCACTGTTTTGATACTAGTAAATACGTGTATGAAATTATATATTAATATTTGTATTATCATGCATTTTTCTGACTCTATAGGATAAAGTAAACATATTGTACTTCTTTTGTCAAAATTATGTAAGTATCCTATTTAATATAATGATCAATGAAATTGAGAGTGTAACTCGATTGTGTGATTCTAGGTTTTATACAGAAAAAAGGCAATAAGCAATGTGGAAGACCATATTTGTGGGCAAATATATGCATATATTTTGTTGTGTGTATCAGTGCATGTGAATCCATTTTCAGCATTGTTTTATGGTTTTCTATGGCTGAAAGAGAAAGTATACATTGATATTTAGGCACTGAAGGGCTGTCCATTCTTCAGTGCTGCTTACCTGCTCCATGTTAACTTTCCCGTGTGTCACAGAAGTGATTCTCCATACATACCAAGTCGCTCCTCAGTCAAGTGTTTTGGAGAGATGAGAGGCTGCTACAAACTAAGGAAATACAAAGAAATATTCTTATTCTTTTGAGGAAATAAGTTCTTGGCAATAGCTTGATTCTAAATTCTTAGATATGAAAATGTAAGAGAATATTTTTATTGTTTGTAGCAATAGCTCTTGGCAATTTGTTATGGCAACCTGAGGAACCTGAGGTTGAAAGTTTACACTTTGGACTGAAAGCAGAGACTCTTTGAACTCACAAGGACTACCTCAAGTGACACACTTTCTCCAACAAGAGCAAGACCATGAATGCTAAGCTTCCCCCAAAAGCAATTGGGAACCAAATATGGCAAAGATTATGGGGCACATGTATTATTCAAGTTGCCAAGGGAAAGTTAATGGCAAACTTGAGAACTTCCAAAATGTTAAGACCTCAAATGAAAGAAAACACACTAAGTCCTGAGTCACCTTACAAGTTGAAAATTGGGATAAGCTGGGAAATGCATGAGAAACAAGCAAGCTTTATCCCAAAGTACTATTTTATTTGCAGTCCCAATTTTGATTTAGAAGAAAATGATTTCATCTTTCAACCACAAAATTAATTTAGCTTACTTTCTTTTGCTTGCAAGTAGATTCTTGTTTTCTCACTCTCTTATAATGGTACAACAATGGCAGCTGATAAAAGATTAAAAGATGATGAAACTCATACTATAATCTTTAAACATGTACGGTGTTGATAAGATTAAAATAAACATATTAGACATACAGCTTGAGTATTTATAAACTCTCACCCAGTTTTAATTTATATATATCACTTGTATTTTATTTATTGATTGATTGATTGTTAGATTGTTCAAGACAGAGTTTATCTATGTAGTGTTGATTGTCCTGGAACTCACTCTGTAGGCCAGCCTGGCCTTAAACTCAGAGATCTGCCTGCTTCTGCCTCCTGGGTGCAGGGATTAAAAGCATGACCCACCACCACCTGTCTTATATTATGTTTGATATTATAGTTATAACATTTCTCCCTTCCCTTTCATCCTTCAAAATTCTTCCTATAATTTTATCCAATCTCTTTCAAATTCATAACCTCTTTTTTTTACTAATTCTTATTTCATGCACAAATGTATATATTTATATATTCCTAAATATAGCATGTTCTGTCTGTGTGATGTTATATGTAGATGTGTTTTCATGGCTGAAATTTGCCACTAACCGGTCAGTTGCTGTACTGTTCTTGAGGAATCCCAGCTTTTTCATTCCCTGCATTCCTCAGTTGCCTGCAGTTCTTTGTTGGGTTAGTCGTGTGTGGGCTTTTTGCCTGTGAGACTTTATAAATGTCACTTCTGATTTTACTAGAGGACACAGTTTCACAGCAAACTCCTTGATATTCTGGCTCTTAGCAGTCTTTCTGCCCCCTTCATTACTGTCCGAAAAATGTAGATGTTTCCATTGGGTTCGTATGTACTATCACAATTCTTAAATATTATTTTTCATGTAATCATAGAACTTCTGATAGCATCTACAAATAAGAAGGTGAAAGATAAAAACTAAATAACTGAAATCAACGCTATGTCGTTTCAGTAGCCCAGGACATCTATTCCCAACATACTCCATCTCTTATACATAATTTCCGAATATTTATCAAATGTTTTCCTAGTATGTAAGATAGGTGATCACGTTTTCAGCTCCCAGAAATACAGAAACTAGGCTGTTATTAGTGAGGGGAGATATGTTGACCAGTGATCCCTTTTGATCTCCAGTTCTCTCACACATCCCCCCCCCCCAGCACTGGAGTTGCAACAGGCTTCACTGCACCTACTATTTTTATGTGGTTTCTGGGATTGAAGTCAGGCTCTCATGCTTATTATACACATTACAGTTTGAACAGAAAGGGATTCTGACAGTGGGAAGCCAAGGAGTATCACAAAGCCACCATAAGCATAGCAGTTTATTGCACTGCTTCTGGGAAAGGCTTCCCCGATGTAACAGCACTGCTCCAGAAGGGAAGGATTTCCCTGTGAAGGTATTACAATTCTGCTCAGGTCCCCTGGAGTGTAACAACTCTGCTCCACTAAGGGGAACCCTAGAGAAAGAGTTATAGTTCTGATCCACTCTGCTTCAGTCAAAGATGTTATTTCTCTGCTTGGCTCCATTCTGGCAAAAGAGGGTCTCACCCAGTCCTCATTCAAGAGATTTATTGGGAGGGAGGAATCCAAGAGGGTGTTTGTCCTCTGGCAGGGTGGAAAAAGGCAACAACAAACTGAAGAGGCACAGGGCTTACATAGGGCTTTTTAAGGGCAGAGTTTTCCCAGGGTGTAATTTTTAGGCTAGTAATTGGTTGGATTTCAATCCCTTTGATTTTAGACAAGTTCAGATTGGTTACATTTTCTGCTCAATGATTGGTTAGTTTTCCTGCTCAAGGATTGGTTGCTTTCATGGTCAGTTGATCAGGAACAAAGTTGTCTTTGCTTTCAGGACTGAAATGTGTTTCTATCACTGACCCTTTCTGCCGTTTGTCTCAGTTTTATGGCCAGAGTGTGTTTATTTCACTGGAACTGGTTCCAGGGCCAAAGTGTGTTTGGTTCTGGTTTTAGAACTAAAGTGTATCTTGCTGGTTCTATGCTACAGGACCAGGGTGTGTGTGTGTGTGTGTGTGTGTGTGTGTGTGTGTGTGTGTGTGTG